TTGTATTTTTGGTTTGCAGAAGCTGATAAAATAAGACTGGACATATATTCTGGAGCTAAGCCATGTTTTGCCTTATACATTAGTAATGATTTATGATAATGTATTCTTTGTGTAATCGGCACAATGTTACATTCGTGAAATAATTCGCTTGAAGGTTTGGTGTAATCATGTTCGTCTAAAATTATTCTTGCTGCCCTCTTTTGCAGTTTTAGTAAACTATCTAATAGAAAGTTATTACAGTTTCCCCATATTGAACAACAATAATCTAAGTGAGGTAAAACGTAAGCGTTATAGAACATGTGTCTAGCTTTGTGATTTAAATATTTCTTTATCCTTTTTAGTAAAGCTAAAGAAGAGTTAACCCTCTTTATGATATAATCAATATGAGAAGACCAGGATAGAGATGCATCAACAAAAATACCTAGATTCCTTTTCACATGTACTTTCTTTAATTTGTTGTCCATTCATAGCAATATTAATGTTTTCATTTGATGTAACTGAAAGCTTCTGTTTAGAGCCAATACATATAGTCTTCGTTTTAGATACATTTACAGCCATTTATGTCCAACTCAAAACACCAAAAACACACCCATCCCCGAATATCCAAGCGTAAATTAATATGAATATAAGATCTCAATGATTTTAAGATCTCGCTGGGTTTTTTTCCAGTTTGTTTCTGCCGTTTGAATAATATAGGTTAATGAAAATGTCTCTTAATAATTTGTTTGCGTTCGAAGCGCTTTTCTGGATTTACTTTCATCAGAGCACCGATCATCTTTTATTGCGGATCGCATTTTTTTTTTATGAATCGTTTGATTGTAAATTTCGAGAAAATAATTTCAGAATGGGAATGAAAAAAAAAAAATGTAACGGGATCTGAATTATTTAATTTTATTTCGTCCTGTCCTGTTTAGACTACGCTTATACGAATACAAAGCTAGCAAAATTGTTTCATAACTATATGGAATTTCTTCTGTACAGTCCAATAAATTGCAGAGACTGTTTACACTTGGAACACAGGGAAAGTTGTTCGGCCAAATAACCAAGTTAAACAACTATTTTCTGTCGAGTTTGAACGTCTGCTTGTACGAGGCTTTTTTGCCTGATTCTATTCGTAATCTGTTCCAATTATTAGTTCTAAACATTGAGGTATCAGCATAAATGCTATCGTTATGTAGTTGACAAATTCCGTAATTTCTGTTATCTCATTTTGCATTTAAAATGATCTTCCCAGTTTAGTACTAATTAATAAATGATGACCTGTTCCATTAATATTATAAGATACATTTAATATTTCTAATTACTTCGGTTATTACAGTGTTCAACGTACGATATTGACTCTTGCTTTTTGTCACCTTCAAAACGATATGGTCAACTACATAACAAAAATGTCCACTACATAACAAAATTAGGTCAATTGTAATGTAGTTGACCATTATGTAGTGGACATATTCACACTTTGGGGCATTTTTTAATGCCACTGATACTTCAACATCACAAACACTGTGCTTTTTTTCTATAAAACACAGAACATTGATTATGATGATATCGATACGGACGTGATGTTCCATTGTTATCTTGAAAAAAAATCCCGTTACCAAGTGGACTAGTTAAAAAATGCGGGGCTACCTCTACTTACTTAAATGCCAATAATTGTTGATACCATTTACAGTTATCTTTTTATGCTTCCATTATTATAATGATATGTAGAGTTAATGCTGAGGCACTTGCTAGATAAAAAAGGGGTGTCAGAATTTATATTATAGCAAGCAAAAACGTTTTCGTTATGTAGTTGACAAAATATCAAGTACGATATAAAACATTAAGATAAATCTGAAACCATAGTCAACTACTATTTAAAGCCTTTATAATAACTTCTATCTTATAACAGAAAATTGTAAGATTTGGGTAATTATAAAGATGTCTATTTTGATGCGATATTTGGTATTTTTGGAGTTGGGACATGCAGTTTGGGGTCATTTTAGAGCTTTCAGCACGATTTCCAAGAAAACCCACCGACCTATTCCTTATTTTCCCTCTGCAAGTAGTAGAATCTACCTTGCACTATGCAGGACACCAAAATTCAAATGATGATAAAGCCGTATTTTCCTCACAGGTCAGCCGTACAGGAATATGGACAGATTTTGAAATATGAAAGTGTTCAAAAACGTCAAGAACGATAACTCGTGGCGTAACGTTATTCGGTATCGTTAAAGCATTATTCCATTACAGATCATATCGTATACTTGTACAATTCACAACTCGTTCCTCTGATTCGGAACGGTCTTATGTCGCCGATTTTTTTTTTATTTATTTGTAATTTGTATACAGAAAGCAGTAGTCTATCATCCCTTCAGTATGTGCTCAAACCAGTCTTTCAAATACAAACACGACAAACTCGGGTGAGAAACTGTGTAACTGACGAATGAATGTTAGTTACCTGCACAAGATCAGTGGTTAGCTTCACCAATACTAGACTTCTTTGTTGCTAAAATATTATACTTTTAGAAAATGTTTGTTTAGCTTTCATATATCACCATTTCAAAACCAAATTCAACTAAATTGTTGAATTAAACAGCTTTACTTAAGTGTAAGTCTCACAGAAAACCATGCAAAATGGTCCGAAAGTACTTTTTTCAAAAACAAATGAAATCTTTACCAGACAGTACATATGGATAGGTAAAATGAAAACACAAAATATTTTTCTAAAATTTTATTAGAAAAAAAAAATTATGAGGAGGTGAAACTTTACATGTCATTTTACATAATTATGCAAATAGCCAAAAAATCACAATTTTCATCATTTTTGACCTGAAATATTTTTTTATTAGTAAGAATGATGCATTTTTCTATTGATATTTCCAGAAGAACTACATTTAATGATTCATACCATAAAATTATTTTTTTCTTATCTTGAACAGCATTCTGTCAAAATAATTTCAAAATATCTATATAAAGGCACTTTACTCATAGAGCTAAAATGGCACAAAATGAAACAAGCGTATCTCCATAAATGATGAAAATAAATCAAAATCAAAAGACTTTCTATAAACCTTAACTTAAGTCTTATAACATATAAAAAATCCACCCACGGCAAATAATCATGAGATAAAGGAAAATTTTTCAAAATTTGGGTACATGTGTACTTCAACGATTTTCATCAAATTATCATAATAAGCTGTGATATCTGTAAAATGCATATACTTCACACATGTAATCCTTTTAAATTTCTTATATGTAAGATTTCTTGTTAAAAAGGGGGCAGTAGTTGGTTAAATAAAAGTATCTTGAAAATTTAGATGAAAGGAGATGGGGCAATTAGGGCCATTCTTGGCCATTTTTCATATAAAATATGAACTTTTGAATTTAGATTTCTTTCTTTGACTGTTTAAAAGTTGAGGTTATGGAAAATAAAAAACAATAAGCTTTTAACCCATGAGGTCATAATTTAAGCAGTCATAATGTCACAGAAACAGCCACTTTACCAGTTTTTAGGCAAATATGGAGATTTTGGTCATTTTTCCTTGTTTTTGGACAGGCACATATAGAGCACATGTGTGAATAAACTGCATAATTTTAGATAATGTTTGTTTATATTAATAACACACTTCATGTTATCATACTCTTGTTATTTTCATATGAACAATGTTTCTAATTGAAATAATGCTTATTTGAACACATTCTTTGAAAAATCGGAATTTAAAAATAAATTAATTTTGCTAATTTTGACTTAAAAATCTTTGTACATGTAAATGGTCAATATATTAAAAAGATATTATAGCTTACATTTTGCCCATACCTAACAATTATTCTCAGCAGAAATCAATTTAATTTGAAACACTGCAAATCAGTAAACCAGAAAAAGCCCCTAGAGCACCCCACCTTTGATGCAAGTTTGAGTAAAAAAATATACAAAGAAAGGGAGAGTCTTGTCTTTTTAAAAATGTAAGACATCATATAAAAGTACTGAAATGTCTGAAAGTCTTAAGAACAGGATAGTTTAATAAAAAGGATCCTTTATATAATTCTTAAATCAAAGTAAGGGTGTACAGTTAACAAGCTTTACTCATAAGACACCAAAATTACAAACTTATTTTGTATGGGGTATTTTGCGACATTGTATCATACAGTTATTTCTCACATATGACAGATCCTAGGATCAACAATTAATCTAAGTTTCTTTTCCTGTGTATATACATGTTGTTTATATAGCATTGACATTGATATTATAATAGAAACTGACAAATTTTAACAAGCTCCGATACCCCATGCCCCCACATTATCAAGTTGTCACTGGACAAAAAAAATGTGACCAAATTCCTAAGTTAAAAGACTCATTTCTCCTACAAAAGACAACTAATAAAATATTGCTGTGGATATGCACATCCTCATAGTCTATTTTCAAACGTTCTATAAAATTCTGTCATGATGACAAACTGTTGCAGTAGTACATCATGGCCACAAATTCAAAAGGGCAACTGAAAGCAAAAATATTGAATTCTAATCTCCTAACAATATGCATATCTACATTGTATTATGTAATTATCTACAAAGTTAAATCAAATTATGTTGTGTGGTTTCAGAGGACTATTGCATTAGTGTATATAAGGCTAAAAATTCCAAGTTAAAAAGGGCATAACTCCTAGTAAAAATCACTGAATCATTATTTCCTGTAGTTTGTTCTTATCATCTATGAAGGTTTGTAGTGCTGACTGAAAAGAACAGGACTGAAAGACAAAGCTAAGCAGACTGGTGGATGGATAACATTTTACCCATTCAAATTCTTGTGTACTGTATTATAATTGACATGTATTATAATGATAACTTTATATTGCTTTTGGTCAGATAAAGTTAAAACCTATGTGACACTACATGTTAACAGCCGTGTAAACTTCATCTACAAAATTTTCAACATTTTCATTATATGTATTTGCATCTATAATTGCAACAGCTTCATACAGTTTTTCATCTTGTTCCACATTTTCTTCAATTTCTCTCAATTAAATGGACTGAACAACAGCACTATTATCAGTTATAGAATTAGAACTTATAGTTCCTGATTTTAGTTTAGTCACTAGTGTTGCAAAGTAGCCTTTAATTTGCGTAGGATTCAGCCATTCCTCCATCTTGAACAATCTTTCTCCGTTTTCATCACATGATTTTCTGAGTTCATCTGACAGAGCAAAATAATTTGGCCGTTTCCCAGTTTTCTCACAATTAAAACATATCTCATTTAAATAGGATTTAACTTTTGGTGAAAACCGAATATTTGTTCTTTTGCCTTTTAGAGCCCATCCCTTATTTATCATATTACTAGTTGCATTTGACTGCGTAGCTGCACTCACGGTTTGAATCAAATTTATTTGTGTATCCTGAACAGATTCAGAAATAGAAGCATATACTTCAACTGCAGTATCTAATCCAGATTTGTTTGTTCTATATGAATGATTTCCGACAAGAATATGCTTTTCCAGATTTGTTGCTCTAGCAAAAGTTTTGTTACAGGATATATCAGGACAACAGAAAAAGTTTACATTTTGATTGTCAGATGCATAGGTGGTTTCATCTTCTGGAATAGCTGATGGTTCATTTGCTGTGTGTTGTGCTGTTTTGGGATATGAAACCTTCCCGGCTGTTTGAATACCTGTAAAAGGTTCATGGACCTGAAACATTAAATACATATATTATACATTGTCAAAAATTTGTTGGACAAAATATTTCATGTATAATAATATTATTCTGAATGTATTTTTAGGCAAAAAAGTCCCCTACCACTACCAGTCACAGTGTAAAACTCCAACTTGATTTGTAAATCACCATCTTACATGCTCTCAGTTATAATATATATATAATAATAATAGAATGTTGCTTGGCCAATTGTTAATTAAGATTGATGTTTAAATTAGATATAAAGGGTGACATGCAAAGGTATTTTTTTTTAAGATGAAAAAGGTCGATCATTAGGTTGAGGTGAGTAATCAAGTGTACTTTCTATGATCATCACTGAGGATACATTTTTTTTATGTCTCACTTTGGAATCGATTGTTAATGCTAGTTCATAAATGTTCTATGTGATGTACATTTATGGCAAACGGTTTTACTATTTATTTTATCTTCAAGATATCTCATATAATATATCAGATAACTTTTATTATGTAGTTTTATAATAAAGTTTATAAGATATCTTTTAAATTTAAAATTATATGAAATATCTCATATATTTAAGATATCTTATATATTATTAGATGAGATATCTTATATATTTTATGAGATATCTTATATATTATATGAGATATCTTATATATTACATATGAAATATCTTATACAATTTATAAGATATCTTGTATAATTTTCTTCATAAGATATCTTATATTATACATGAGATATCTTGTACAATATATAAAATTCTCGTTTAACTTTCTTCATAAGATATCATATAAACTAGATACATAAGATATCTTGTATATTATATGAGATATCTCATAAAGTTAATTATAAAGTTATCTTATAAATATATTTTTTCGAAGATATATTATATACTTTATCATATCCTTTAAAATTTATAAGATAACTTATATAGTTTATAAGGTTTCTCATATAATAGTTCATAAAATATCTCATATAATTTTTATAATCATGATAATACCTTAAAAATTATACAAGATATCTTATAACTTATAAGAGATAACTTATAAAATATATAATATATCTTATAAACTATATTAAATATCTTTAAGTTATTAACTATATGATATATTTTATAAAGTTTATAAGATATCTTGAATTTAGTAAAATGTCTTGCCTTTTACATTGAAAGTCCATGCTTATTTAGCGCATAATTTGTTGGTAGATATATAATATTGTTTAATCCAGGAATAATTTGGAAAACATTACAGAAGTTAATTTTTTTTTCAGTGCACCCTTTAGTATAATTTTTAATTAAATCTAATTCTAACACTTACCTCCAGATTAAACACCCTTTCTGTAGAAAGGTTTTGGTCAGATATTCCTGATGTTTGTATAAGCTGTCCAGAACCAACTTGATAGGCCTTTCTTGCAACAATTCCAATTTCAGTGAAAGCAAAATTGTTCAATACACTAATCCCAGGAATTTTACTTTTAATCTTAGGCTCAGATGCCTGGTCAATAGAAACAACACAAACATTTGTTCCTTTAACACCTCCATAGCTTTCAAGGGCTTTTTTCATGTCTCCTGCATTTAGAACATTGTGTCCTTCATTTGCATACCTGTATATGTGCAACCTTGAGGACCCTCACTAAAGTTGTATTCTTTGATTCTTATTGGGAAGGTTGAGTTGTTCTGCTGGATAAAGCCTAAAAGGTTCACACAGTGGTAGCATGCAGCATTATCACTTTTGAGATAAATTTCTTCCAGAGACTGATTCTTACACTTGAGTTGTTCCAGCAAATGGAGCAAAATATTTGCAATAGAAAACCAGCCTTGTGTCCCATTTTCAAGTATGTGAATGTAACAGTTGAGATCTAACTCATCTGATGATGCTGACCTAGTAACTGAACATGAAATATGCCAACTAAGACCTTTCTTTCCGAAAAATTCTGACTGAGTCTCACGGAATTGTACAGGCAAAAACTTCATTGCCCAATCCATAATGATCAAACTCTGATTAGGTGTTAAATTCTTCAAAATATCATTTCTAGCAGCATCTTGATGCACAGTTCTTAATAGGTGCCTTTTCCATTCCAATAAATTCTTTGTTGCACTGTTAAGATCAAAGTCAATATCATCTTGTACCGATTCGTTTACTTGAACTTTAGAAAGCTCTGTTGTAATTAGGTCATGCACATTGTCAACAAGACTGCATTTATCACAATTAGCATCATGCTGATGTTCACAACTAGAAGCAAATCCAGGAATTGAAGGGTCACTTAAAGCGTATGTAGTGCAGTGATCTGTACAACCATCTAATTTATTCAAATGCAGTTTGTACTCAAATTTCAAAAACTGGTTAATTACATGCAAACTGTCTCTCAATTTTTCCACACTTTCATGACTTTTACCAAATGTCTCAAGTTTTGTCACCAGTTTAAGCAATGTGTCAATTGCTCCCATTCCACCAGAAGTTGTATTGTCAAGACCTTGTAAAGCTTTTTGTTTAGATGCTGCACATACTTTGAGAATTCTGTACAATGTTGGTCTGCTGTATGATTCCAAGTTATTTTCTTCACAATAATTTTGGTAGTTACTTATAATTCTTGCATTTATTACATTTCTTATTACTCTAGGAATTTCCATTTTTTCATTAGTTGATAACTTTAACATAGTTTGTCCAAAACCAATAATGGTAGAATATAATGGATTCATAACGAATTCAATGAAATGTGTTACTCTTGGCTTTGTTAATTTAGTTCGGTAAATTTTGGGTGGATTAACAAGGTTTCCTGCCCCAACAATTAATGAATGTTTTCTAGCACCATCAATTTTTGCCACAGATAATCCAGGGTTCAATTTTTGAAGTTCTAGTTTGGTAAATTTGTTAACAAATAGAGAAAGAATTTGAATCTGTGTTCTTGAGTTACTAGCATTGTGGAAAGCATCAATTATGCATCTAGTAGTGGAATCAATCGAAACCTCTTTTTGCTGTAAATTATCTAATAGCACATCCTCTTGTCCAGGTGCAATAACATTTAAAATCAACCTAATTGACTCCTGTGTCTTTTTCAAATAATATGACCTTGAACTTTTACATAGTGTATTCCATGGTTTTGACAATTGGCAATTAAGAGGTTCAAATGAATGTGATAACATTTTCATAGCTGCATTAAATCTGTCTTTGGTGGTCATTTGTGTTTCAAGCCAGTCCTGGCTTGACATTGTTGTTGCTTGTGAGGATAGCTCAGAAAATCCTTCAAATGTGTCTGCAAAAAAGAATTACCAAATTAAATGAGAAGAAAGATCCAATATATCTGTGACATTAATTGATCAGTGACTGTGTTAATTATTTCATGGTACTTACAAACTAAAGGCTCTAAAGAGCTGTGTCGCTCACTTTGGTCTATGTGCATATTAAACAAAGGACACACATTATAGACAAGTATAGAATTCATGACAAAATTCTCTGTTTTGGTGATGATGACTTGTTTGTAGGTCTTAATTTACTGACCATTCTTGCTGATTACAATTATCTCTATTTGTAATGAACTTGGCCCAGTAGTTCCAGAGAAATCTACTTTATTTTACCCCATGTTCTATTTTAAGCCCAAAGGCGGCCATTTTGGTTGTTGGGCTGGGTCATTGGATACATTTTTTAAACTAGATACCTTAAGGATGATTTAGGCCAAGTTTGGTTTTATTTTGCCCAGTAGTTTCAGAGCAGAAGATTTTTGTAAAATATTACAAAAATTTCTAATTGACTTTAAAGGGCAATAACTCTTTATGGGGTCAATTGACAATTTTGTACATGTTGACTTATTTGTAGATCAGATCTTACTTTGCTGAACAATTTTGCTGGTTACAGTTTATCTCTAGCTATTAAAATATTCAAGATATTAAACAAAAGCTGCAAAATTTATGTAAAATTACCAATTTGGGGGCAGCAACCTAACAACTGGTTGTCTGATGGATGTGATAATATCACGACAGATAGATCTTGACCCAACAAACATTTTTATCTATGTTAGATTTGCTCTAAATGCTTTAGTTTCAGAGATATAAACCCAAAACTGATTTTACCCCCATGTTCTATTTTTAGCCATGGCAGCCATCTTGGTTGATGGGTGGGGTCATCTGATACATTTTCTAAACTAGATACCCGAAGAATGATTTAAACCAAGTTTGGTTTTATTTGGCCCAGTAGTTTCAGAGATGAAGAATTTTTGTAAAAGTTAACGGACGACGGATGCCAAGTAATAAGTAAAGCTCACTTGGCCCTTTTGAGCCAGGTGAGTTAAAAAGTGGAAGTGATTAAAAAAATAAATCAGAGACTTTCATGAAGCTGTGTAGTTGCCACATTAAATATATGACGTTATCTGGTTAGAACCTAAAACAACTATATTTCCTACATGTAAATTAGTTTTTTGACATTGAAGGTCGAAAGTCATTGTCTGACCATGCTGCATTCATGCTCCAATATATTAAAAGCATATGTCAAAAGGTAATAAAGCTGTGTTTCAAGAAAAGAATGTAACAATAAATCAAGTCATTTGACATCTGAGGTCAAAGGTCACAAGAAAAACACTACCCACTATCTCAAATACATGCACATGCCTAGGTGTAAAGACTAACATGTTTTACTTTGAGATCAAAGTTAAAGGTTACATCATGGCACATGTACAGGACAATTTGTCTCATGAACCTTGATTCTAATTTTCTGATAGCCTTCATGTGTAATTCCTGAGGACAATGCGATGAAAATTGTCTTTTTGGCTTTTTAATGTAAGAATACATAAGTGTTTGGTAATGAAGATGTTGTTGAGTGATGCATTTGAAACATATCATGTGGTATAGCTTCCTCATATATGACTCTTTATTTCTACAAGCCCCTGAAATGTAGTTTCTGAGAACAGTTTAACAAAAATTTCAGGGGACAGACTGACAGACAGGCAGGGGTAAAACAGTACACCCCCTCCTTTTAAAGGCAGCTATAACAATATTAAAAGAGTTACCTCCCCCTCTTAGTACATATTATAGTAAATACAATACAGGGTATGTTTTTACCTGTCACACTGGACTGACTGTAAGTAAGTTCCATGTTTTGATCATCTTTGCTGTTTACATCTGAAAAAATATATTATACCAGTAATATATATATAATGTTTAAAGCAACACACTTTTGTAAAAATAGATGTGTACATTTACATCATTACAATAAAGATAACAAATGGTTGCCAATGAGATAATTCTCCACAAGAGACCAAATGACACAGAAATGAACAACTATAGGTCACTATACTGCCTTTAACAATGAACAAAGCCCATATCCCATAGTCAGCTATAAAAGTTATGTTTTTAAATTTACATAACAGGATTTCAGAGACCATTTCTACTAAAATCAGTTCAGATGAATTATCATTAACAAATTATGTCATAATTTATGTTATGCGGGGCCACACAAATGTGTCCATGTGAGCTTCAAAATTCAGTATCAACTTGTTTCTATATATCATGCTACACTTCAGTGGTTTTTGATGGTAATGTAATGGCAATAGTCCATTTGAGCTCAAACTTAACCAGTTGATATTATTAACACATTAAAAAACTACCTTGGTTATGCTCTTGTTCTATTCTGCTGTTGGGTCTACCAAATAACCTTTTTGCTTCATAAAATGCTTCTGTAAAAAAGGAATAATGACAGATTATTAATTTTGATTTAAAAAATGAATGTTAATTTTCCTATATTGTGATCAATATGTAATCTTAGATGAGGTTTGTTATTAAAATGCATAAAGGTTGTGGGTCCTTTAAAGTAGAATTAGGCATTATAGCTTTACCTTACTTGAGGGACCTATAAGTATATGGGTAAAGCCAAAAAGGTGCTCCAAATTGGTCAAATAACCATCTGAAGCTTAAATCCCAATTTTAAAATATTTAATATATGTTATTTGATTACAACTTGTTATTGAGCATCAGTGACATGATGAAGTAGAAGATTTGATAAATATCAAATATCCGCTAATTCAATGTGTCTTGTTATTGAAGTTTGTCAAACGTAGATCTGTACGTTCCTGTGTCCCAAGCGTGACATGGAAACCCCCTTCTAACAAAAAATATACCTGGTTGTTTTTATGGGCAAAAGAAAAACGGAAAGTAAGTTAAATCGTCAGAAAAGTGTTGTTGCACTATAAATCCGTCAAAGTTTTGCGTGAAATGCAGTAAAATTAATCAAAGAAACGATTATTTCGACAGGGTTAGTAATGTTATATTGACAATAGACTACTATGGTAAAAATAACGCACGGGGTTTTCCGCGATATCGTCATCTGCGGAACATTTGATTGGTTCCTGTCATATTCATGCGCTGTCGTATCTCGGCTGTTTCAAATAGTTCTAATTTTGGTTTCGTATTCCGTTTTATGAGAAGCATAGAATGGCAAGTTTGTAATGTCAAAATAACGTATAACGTACGTAAATGTTTATTCCTTATTATTAACGGAAAGAGTTTATCCAGGGAGAAAAAAATACTTTGTTTCATTTCAAAATTGCTATATATACGAAACTAAATGTAAGCATCACTATCATTCATGGATGAAAATGGAAGAAGAACTCGATGGTAAGTTTTTAGCAAAATGTCA